ATACAACCCTTTGAGAAAACAGTAAAACCGTGAAAAAAATCCTTTAGAAAATATCTGGCTCAGTTTAAAAAAACCACTTTTGAAAATATCCTTTTCCAACTGTAACGACCCGACCCGTCGTTACGGGAGTTACCGCCCTGTTTTCCCCGTTTTATGCTTCTATACGTTTCATTATACGTGTTTGGAGAATTTGAAGTAATTCGGATAGAGTTTGGTTAGAAATGAGACAATAAGTCTCTTTATGATAAGGTTAGTTTGGAAAAGTCAACCGAATGTTGACTTATGAGTTAGAAGGCTCGAAATGGATTTCCGATGATTCGACTAGTTTCGGGAGATGATTTGTGACTTAGGAGCGCAATCGGAACTGAATTTGGAGGTCCGGTGTGGAATTAGGCTTGAATTGGCTAAGGTTGAATTTTGGCGAGTTCCGGATGGTAGGTGAGATTTTGATCCGAGGGTCGGAATGGAATTCCGAGAGTTGCAGTAGCTCCGTTAGGTGATTTTGGATATGCGTGCAAAGTTTCAGATCATTCTGAGGTGTTTAGGTCGGGTTTTAGATCAAATGCAAGTTTCGGAAGTTTTAGTTTAACTTAGGCTTGAATCCGTGGTAATTCGATGATTTTGGTGTTTATGATAGTGTTTTTATGTTACGAGCAAGTTCGAATGAAGTAATAGAACATATCTGTGCATTTGGTTGAGGTCCCGAGGTCCTCGGGGTGAATTAGGGTGGTTAAACGAGAGTTTTGAGGTGTAATTGCAGGTCAGATTTTTCTGTCATCTAGTGTTTCCGCTTCTGCGGAAATGGACCGCAGAAGCGGGTACGTGGTCGCAGAAGCGGTCGTGGCCGGCTAGGGAAATTCCGCAGATGCGGAAGGTGGCTCGCACCAGCGGGTCCGCATAAGCGGACAAGGTGCCGCAGAAGCGGGTTTGAAGGAACCGCAGAAGCGGACTTCGCGTCGCATAAGCGAAGTCCAGGCTTCTAAGCGAAAACCGCTTAAGCGGAAATGTGGCCACAGAAGCGGTCCCGCATAAGCGAAAGCGGGACCGCAGAAGCGAAAATCGCTGGGCGACAGAAGGGTTTTAAAATAATATTTCATCCGCGACCCTTTCATATTTTTCCTCCATTGTTGACGTTCTTAAAAGCTTTGAACAAGGAAATTCGAGGGTTTTGACTGAGAATCACTTGGAGGTAAGCTCCTTGGCCAAAATATTCGAATTTATGGTAGAAATTACATGTAAATTGTAGAAAATTCATCAAAAATGGGTCAGGCTAGGGCTTGGAAAGCTGTGATGTAAAAATGGAATTTGGAGGGTCAAACGAGCTCCGATTTTGGTAAACTTTATATGCACGGACTCGTGGCGAGATGAGGAATCCGTTGGTGTGATTTTCAGAATTTTTCGAGAAGTGGGCCCGGGGTTCGGGTTTTACCAACTTCGTGAATTTTAGTACTTTTCGAGTATTTTTGATTGGGTTATGTTTCTTTAACCCATATTTATGTATTCGTTGTGATTTTGACTAGATTCGATGCGCGAGGAGGTCGATACGAAAGGAAAAGGCATTGCGGACCATTCTACGGCCGGATAGAGGTGAGTAGTTGGTGTATATGATGGCCTGAGGGTTTGAAACCCCGGCTTATCACATTGTGACGCTATTGTAGGGCGTGACTCGCACCCCATGGTAGGTGCGGGATTAGTTATGACTGGGTATTGAGACTTAGTCCATTCCGAACAAGAATATTTCTATATTGGCGACTGATACGCACCCTGTATTGAATATATCTGGGCTTATTGCCGTGTTNTATATATATAAGCTATATTCGATACAGTATTACCTAATACACTTATACTTAGTGCATAGTATAGCGCAAGTACATATATTATATATATATATGAGCTATATTCGATACGGTATTACCTAATACACTTATACTTAGTGCATAATATAGCGTAAGTATATATATATATTATATATATAGACACACACGCCCGCTTCGTAGTACTATTCATCCCTTGTATTACAAAAGTATTAACGACTTACATTTATATTATTTACATAGTAAATACAAAAGTGATTTTTAATTTTGACCATATAGAGACCAACTTTGGTCGCTAACTGTAAATGAATTTAATTTAGCGACTAAAGTTGGTCACTAACTGTACATGAATTTAATTTAGCGACCAAATTTGGTCACTAAATTTTAATCAGACTTATTTATATTTTATATAATATTTAAATTAATAATAAAAATTGTTAAATGTTAGAACTGGGTCCCACCTTGGCGACCAACGTTGGTCTCTATTTCATTAAGCGACCAACTTTGATCGCTAAATTTTGAATTATATTTATTTATATTTTATAATTTTTTTTAAAATAAATATATATTTATTAAAATATTATAACTGGGTCCCATGTTAGCGACCAATGTTGGTCGCTATCAACTTATCCTTCAGTTAGCGACCAACTTTGGTCGCAAGTTTTAAATTCTATATATTTATATTTTATAAGTTTTATATAATAATAATAAAATTATTAAAAATTTTATGTGGGTCCCACTTTAGCGACCAACATTGGTCGCTAATCTCAGTATATCTTTGACCAAGCAAGTCTGACCAGTCTAGTCAACGGTTTGACTAAATTTGCGGCCAAATAGCGACCAACTTTGGTCGCTAAAGTATTTCAAATATTTTTTTTATTATTTTCGGCAGTTTGGCGACCAACTTTGGTCCCTTTTCTTGACAGACCAAATTTGGTCGCTAATCTTTGGTCGCTTTTTACAGGAATTCTAGTAGTGAAGTATAAGAGTCAAATTATGCAAACAATTTTCAAAAGTATTTCCAAATAGAGTAAAATCAACCATAAAGATTTCTAAAATAAATTCTGTCATATCTGAAAAGATGGCGGACATGCTACGTTGAAAAGTGGCTGGTGCTTTGCATAGCCCAAAAGGCATTCTTCTGTAAGCATATGTACCATGAGTACAAGTAAATGTTGCTCTATCTTCATCTTCAGGGGCTATTGGAATTTGGTTATAGCCAGAGTAACCATCAAGAAAACAGTAAAAACCATGACCCGCTACTCTTTCCAACATTTGATCAATGAAAGGTAAAGGAATGTGATCCTTTCTGATAGCATTATTTAATCGTCTGTAATCAATACAGACTCTCCATCATGTGACTGTCCGGGTAGGTATGAGCTCATTATTTTTATTTTTTACAACAGTCATGCTTCCCTTTTTAGGTACTACCTGTACTGGACTCACCCATGGACTGTCTGAGATTGGGTAAATGATTCTAGCTGCCAAGAATTTTACCACTTTCTTTTCATAACTTCTTGCATTGCTGGATTTAGTTTTCTTTATGGTTGAACAATTGGCTTGTAACTTTCTTCCATCAGTATCCTGTGTGTGCATATGGCTGGGCTGATTCCTTTGATATCTGAAATTGTCCAACCCAAAGCTTTTTTATGTTTCTTCAGTACCTTGATCAACTGCAACTCCTATTCATCAGTCAACAAAGATGAAATAATTACTGGAAAAGATTCATTCTCAAGATAAACATATTTCAAATTAGAGGGTAGTGCTTCAAGTTTAGTTTTCGATTGAACTGTTTCTGATGTTGTATCTTCTCCTTCTTCTTCTTTTTCTAAGGTTTTACCTTCTTTTTTAATTGTGGAATCCTCATCATTAGTCATGCCATATTTTGCTAAACATCTTTCCAAAGAATCTGAAAATAACTGATCATCTTTGTGTTCATCTGTAAGATCATTAAGCAGGTCAATGGTAAAACAAGAAGATGATAAGTCATCATCGGGATATTTCATCATCTTTTGCATACCGAAAATTACTTTCTCCTCATCCACACTCAAGATCAATTGTCCTTGATGTACATCTATTATGGCTCTTCCTATCGCTTGAAAAGTCTACCCAAAATAAGAGGTACATCAGTATTTTCTTCATTTCCAGGAGTATAAAGTCCACTGAGAATACAAACTTATCAACTCTAACAAGAACATTTTCAATGATTCCTTTTGCCTTTTTTGTGCTTTGATCAGCTAACTTCAAGAAAACAACTGTATTTTTTATATCCCCGAGTTCCAACTTTTGCAAAATTGAAAAAGGCATCAAATCGAATTATGCCCCAGAATCACACAAAGCTTTTTCAAAATGAGTTCCTCCTACAGTACAAGGAATAGTAAAACTACCTGGATCTCCAAGTTTTGTGGAAGCTTGTTTTGCAAAATTCCACTGCATTTTTCTGTTAGCTTAACCACAGAGGTTCCCTCAAGTTTTCTTTTACTGGAAAGAATTTCTTTTAAAAACTTGGCATATGTAAGGCATTTGGTTTAGAGCATCTGTGAAAGGAATATTGATATACAATTGTTTCAATATTTCCAAAAATTTAGAAAATTGCTGATCAAGTTTTTCTCTTCTAAATTTCTGTGGAAAAGGAATTGGCCACTGGTATTTTCGTTACTTTCTTGAGCACTCACTTTCTTTGTCTCAAATTCCGTTTTCTCTTACCATTATCCACAGTTTGATTCCGAGCTTGATCTTTTTTTAACTTACCTTCTCTGTCAGGGTATGGATCATTAAGATTTTTACCTGATCGCAAGGCAATTGTTTTGGCATGTTCTTTTGGATTTTTCTCCATATAGCTGGGCAATGGTCCCTGTATCTTTCCTGAAATTAAAGTGGCCAATTGACATACTTGAATTTCCAAGTTTTTGAAAGCAGCATGTTGACTTTCCATCTTTTCATCAGTTGTTTTGATACACTTGTACATCAAGTCTTCCAAGGTTGGTGCCTATTGTTGTGGTCTAGGCTGATATGGCCTAAAATTTTGTTGCATCCTACTTTGCCCTTGAAATCCAGGTGGTGCTTGTGTTGGTGGTTTCTGAAAATGCTGAGCATTTTCGACTCCATTAGGATTACTCCATTGGAAACCAGGGTGCTTTTGAGCTAGAGAATTACCATATTGGTAGCCTCGGTATCCAATCATGTTCACCTATTCTTCAACTTGATATCTCGCTTGGCACTCATGGTTCTGATGATTTCCTGCACAAATATCACAATTGCCAAACACAATATAGTAACGACCCGGCCGGTCATTTTGAGAATTTAAGTTCCGTTCTGCAGCGTAAGGTCTTGAGCAACTTCATATTATGTGTATCAACTTGCGTGCATGGTTGAATTTTGTTACCGGATGGTTCGGAGTTGAATTGAGAGAAGGAATCTAGAGGGCCCTGGGTGTGTTTCGGATGAGTTGCGGATAATTTTCCATGGTTTTGGAGAGGCTGAGTTCTGGTGTAAGGCGCGATGGTCGGAGATGCGAAGGAGAACGCGTAGGTGTGAGAGGAGTAGGTCTAGGCAGTCTTTAGAACGCACGTGCTGTCACACCTCCTTTTTTACATGCACCCCGAGAGGGAGTATACAAGGGAGTTTTTCGAATTAAAGTGACATTATTCGAAATGAGATTATTTTAATTATCAGAGTCGCCACTTGGAATAAATTATGGTGTCCCAAGTCACCGGTTTATTTTAAATCCCAAATCGAGGAAGTTTTATTTTTAAAGAGTCTGCGAACCAGAAATTCTAGATAAGGAATTCTGTTAATCCGGGAGAAGGAGTTAGGCATTCTCGGGTTCCGTGGTTCTAGAACGGTCGCTTAGTGATTATTACTTGGCTTAAATTGTTTAACTACTCATTTTTAGGACCTATGTGCATTTACCTTATTACCGCTTTTAAATCACTTGAATTATTCGTAATGAAAGAATTGAGTTACGCGTACGTATACTCTTTTCTTTTGGCGCGTCAAAATCATGTCAAGCGAAGTGTCCACGATTAATAACGCTTTTGTTGATTTATTAAGAAAGTTTGATTGAAGTTGCGCGAACGCATCCCTCGAGTCTTTTTTTTAGAATCAAATTCGCAATTTATGTTACGCGAACGTATACATAATCACAAAACTAGTCTAAATCGAGCCTAAAGCAAACTACGGAAGTCCAATTTTAATAACAACATTTATGAGGGCCATCGATATTTAATTTATGGCACGCCTCAAATCTTTTATAAAGGTTCTTTCTTGGTCTAATCTTATGAGGGCCATGAGTTAAGGGGTTTTATTTGGCATGGCACACCTCAATTGATTTTAAGAGGATTGTACTAAATTAAGGCATTCTAAGGATGCGCTTATTTTAAAACTAACTTAAGCTTAACAAAGTTATTATTATCGGCAGGTTTGGGGTACATTTACTAGACCTTTAATCGTTTTGGATAAGAGGGATTGGGCCAGCAGTAGCCCGTTAGGTCATTTGGTTAAGGGTCCATCAGCATTTTTAAAGCTGTCTTGGGCTTGAAATTTGGCTCAGAAATGAGGAATTTAAGGGCCATTGCTACACCTGATTTTTACACCAAGTTTGGCCCACATTGGGCTTATGTCAGGCGGGCCCAGTTGCGACTGGCTGGGCCTATCTACCCTTCACGTTCCAAAGCTAAAAATTGCAGAAATAATTCACTTTTGTTATAGGAAAATCAGAAATAAAAACATTAAAATGCAATCCAAATCCGAAGATTAATTTCACTAACATGATTTGCAAGACATAAAATATATACATTTATACTATGTACCTTCAAAAGAAATTTTATAACTGAGCCAAACTATTGGGTTCAATGCCCAGCCCCAAAGGCCTAGGCCCTGACTTGTTGAAATTTGTTTTCCCCATCTGGACTCAATCGCAAATCTGGCCCAACTTTGTGTTACGTTCAAACCCTTCTGTGATGATAGGCTTATGCAAATAAATCATATTGCCATAAACCTAAGCTAATAATCAGTCATATCAATCTTTTTTGAAGTTAAAATAGTTCAACAGTCCATTGACAGTCCATAAATTTACAGCATGATCCACAGATTTACTACTGTCCGCTTACTATGAATTTATATCATACTCCTAAGTGTAACTAACATCTCAAAAATTAAAATGAATAGAAAAACAACAATTCTCCTAACTTCAGGACTTCCATTGCCACCAGAATTTCTTGAAACAAGCTTCAAACTTGCAAGAAATCAGCTATGGAGCTGTTTCTCACAAGTCAACCTTCCAACCTTGAGATTTCTTGACATTGTGGTCACTCACATACAAGACAACAGAGATAAAAGTAGGTTTCAGCATTTTTTAGATTCATTAACTAACATGTTTTAATCTAAATGATAAACAATTAAACAAAAGAGAAAGGAGACCATTCAGCAATTGAATATTCATTTTTCAAACAGTCACATCTACTACATTCATAACAAAACAACCAAGTATCACATGGAAGCTCATTCATTATACATGTTTTATCACAAACTTACTGATGCTACATTATTTCAAAACAAAACAATACATGAAAGGAGGTGGAATACATTGTAACAGCAGGAAACAAGCAGTAAAAAAAGAGCTGAATACTAGTTTAGAACTTTAGAAAAGAAGCGGCCAGCAAAAACAGACAGCAAGAATGAGAATCAAACCCAGAAAATACCCAAAATCAACCAAATCAGAAGACCTCTAAAACCAGAATACCATCCTAGAAATCTAACCGGAAAAGTTGAAATTTTTTAGAGAACTTTTAGGAGTTTTCTCTTTGTTTTTCAGAACTTTTAGTGCAGAAAATGCTAAGGAATATCTAATGCTGATGATTGCTAATGATTGTCTGTCATTGTGTGAGGGAATGTTTCCTTTTATAGATTGCACAAACAAAGCACCAAAAGGGAATATTCTGACCTAATGCAGCACATTTTTACAGCTGTATTGTCCTTTTTTCTTATCCAAAATCAGCATTTTGGTAAGGATAAGGACAGCTGTGATATTCTTAGAACATTCTGATTTTTACCCAATGTAAAATCCAAATTTTACCCTTTAAATTCCTGCCTATTTCATCTTTAACTAAACCTTTTGGTTCAATTAAGCCCCCTAAAGTTTTTATTTGTTCATTTGACCCCTCTTAAGTTTCTAATGATGCCAGCTATGGCAAACAGGAACAAGGCAAGCAAATACTGGCAAATAGATCAAATAACAAATAGAAATGCAATTGAATCTTAGATTAACCCTAAATTCATTTAGCATGAACCGAACTCAGAAAGCATAAATGGAATTTTAAAGACAAAAGAAAACATAAATTATCCTAGACAAAGTGCTGAGAACAAAACAAAATACAACAAAGAAGAACAGAAATATTTTGTGCATTCAATCCTAAGGAGAAACCCTAATTAAACTTAAATCATGTAATTGAAAAGCATGCTTCAGTTAACCAAGAACAACTAAACAACTAAACAGTCTTGAAGAAAAGAAAATTCTAAAATTAAACCTAAACATGCGATTAATCAGAGATGTGAACACAAAGAAAAGAAATCCTAAAAGAAGAAAAATAACAAAAAGAGCAAAAGAGAAATACCTAACTTAACAGTAGACTTGCCGGAGTTTGACCGGACTCTGGCAGGTTTGGAAACAAACCAAATCCACATGAATCAATTGCTCTTGTTAAGAGCAACTGACTCATGTAGGTTTGAACCGTTAAAACACTCGGAAGTGACCAGGTTAGGTTTTTAGGACTTCAGAATCTAAGATCTGAAATTTGAACAAATTGAGGCCGGTGTGGAGGGGGCTAATGGTAGCTTAAGGTTTAGAGAGGGGCAAGGATAATAGGTTGTGAATTTGGAGCGGATTGGAGTAGTTAGGTTTTTGGCCGTGATTTTTTGATCTAAAGTTCGAGGATTTTGGCCGGGATTCGAGGGAACAGGGTTGAAAATTTGGAATGAGGAGGGTATGGGAAATTCATGGTGTAAATTTGGGGAGGTTTGGTGTACCGGCGCCGCCGTGAGCGATTTCCGGTGGGCGGTTGACGGCGGAGCCAGCGAGGGAATCCTAGGCGGCTAGGGTTTGGGGTGATCTTCAGAGATGAGAATGGAGAGTGAGAGGGTTTGGTTTGGGGGGGGGGGGTAGGCTCTCTTCTGACAGTAATATACTAAAAGATCAATCAATTCCGGGCCGTTGGATGGATAAAGTCCAACGGCTGAGATCAAATCGGAACGAAACGAGGTCGTTTTGAGGTCAAATGGGGCTGGACCGGGTTAGCTGGGGTTTGGGCCTGGGTTTGGGTAGGAATCTTTGGGCTCTTTTTGGAGATCCAATTCTGAAAATCCTTTTAAAATCTCTTCCTTTTTCTCTTTTTTTAATTAAAAATCCTAGCAATTTAAAAATCCTAAATTACCTAAAATGTGAAATTAAACTAATTAATTGATTATAAAAATTATAAACATCACTTAACTCAAGATTAAAAGAGAAAAATTAATAAACTAAGAATTAAAAGATAAAAATATAAAATGAGCTATTTTTGTGATTTTCAAATTTTCATAAAATAAATAAAAACTGATTAATTCTAAAAAACATAAAAACAAATCCTAAATGCAAATGCATGGTATTTTGGTATTTTTCATGATTTAAATAAAAATTAAACGTGCACAGAACTGCAAATAATTAAGAAAAATTCTACAATTATTCCTAAAATAACCAATATTAAAAGAAAAATATAATTCTTTGGGATTCTGTAGGAGTAATTCATGTGGGGCAAAAATCACGTGCTCACAGCTGCCCCTATTTGCTCGGAGACACGAAGGGTTTTCGGGCAAAGATAAAATGAGCAATTATGAGGGATTTTTGCCCATTTGAAACTCCATGAGAAGCATTTTTGAAAGAGCCTGACCGAATCTTGCTTCAGAGGTTGCCTACATATCCTTGGCTATAAAGGAATCAGGTCAATGTAGTTCTGGAAGTTTTCGGTAGCTGGGACTACCAGGAAGCTGTGATTCCACTGTTGCTGCTGCTGCTACTGCTTGCTAAACTCCTTATTACACCAAAATGGAAAATAAAAAGCTAAACTAGCTAAGCCTATCAACTACGAGTTACAAGATTCCTATCTATAAATCTTTTGAAGCTTGATCTTGAGTCTCGGCTGGTTCTTGCCGCAGACTCCGATCTGAATCTTGATGCTCGTCAGCTGTAGCTGCTGGTTCATTCTTCA